AACCACACAGCTGGCCATGTGGGATCCAGCCATCTTAACCTCCATGCCACCTGCTGGCTCTGGCAAATTTAAAGGCAAAACAGAAACACAAAGAGAAACTACCTCCTCTTAGCCTTTATAGTCTCACGAATCCTCTTTGGGAGTCTTGACGACTCGTCAGAAGAGCGTGCCCAGGCGTGTGTAGCACCGTGCCATATTTTGCTGAGTTTCCTGGTCCGGGAAGAGCTGAGGGTGAGAGCTCTCTGTGTGTGTCCTGCTGCAGCCAGAGCTGCCCTGTGTGACTCCAATCACCAGGATGACCTTGGCCAGACAGCCTGGGATGTGCGATGGTCAGTTCACGAGCCTCTCAGCTTAAGAGCACATGTGACTCCTCTGAGGCCCGGCTCCCCTCAGACAGGGGCTCCCCCAGGACAGAGTTGAGCCTCCCTTCAGATCAGGGCTCTCTGAGGACTGGGCTGTCTGCCCATCAGACTGGGGCACCCCAGCCCCTACTCTCACCCTCAGATCCCCTGACACCAACCGGTGGCTCTCACATCCCTTTCTGGTACCTTCTTCACCGGCCATGGCCACAGAGACTTCTGACCTCCCAGCCCACCGCAGGACCATTTTCTTGCTGCCACTGAACTGGAAATGATTCCTTGGGGGAGAGGAGGGAGGAAAGGCCTTCAGCTCTGCTTCCTCGGCCTTGATTTAAGGAACAAAAGAAGCCAAGCTCCAGGCAGTCGCATGGACAGCTGAAGGGTTTTGTGTTCTTTTGGGGGAAAAAAAAATACAATTTACCTGCTGAAAAAGATTTCTTTTTGAGCTCTCCAAAGACGGAATGTGGAGAAAAAGCACTTATGGTCTGGGTTCTTCCGTCCCCTCATAGCTTAGGCCCTGCTTGGGGTGGAGGGCCTGGTTTCCCACACAGGCTGCTTCTGGCCGTGTGCTGTGGGCCAGTTACTCACTGTCTCTGAGCCTGGGAGTCCTCCGTGGTTCAGGGTGGGGATGACGAGGGATGCACTTCACCTTCAAGAACCTTCTAGTGCCCATGTGTGTGTTGCTGTCCTTGATTTCACACCGAAGAGATGAGGCCCTAAGACACGGTGTCTGGCGTGGAGTGTCTGGACTGCTGCGGTCAGACACGCAGTGTGAGGGCCGGCTCTGTGGCACAGTGGTTAAGCACTTTGCAGGCCAGGATTTGAATCCCAGTCTCAGTGGTGGAAAAACATGCCAGGCACGTGTGCACATGCTCAGGATCCTGATGAGATGGAGAATTGGAAGGAAAAGGTTTGCAACATGGAGGGTACCTTCTCTCTCTCTTCCTCTCTCCTTTATGTGCATGTACTGCCTGGCATGAATAGATATAGATAGATAGATGATAAATATATATATATATATAGATAGAGAGAGAGAGAGAGAGAGAGAGAGGAAGTCAAATATGATTATAGTAAAAATGGAAATTCTTTTTAAACTGTTTGCACTTCAGGCCAGAGAGAGCTCAGTGGGGAGGAGAGGTAATGACTGTCAGTCAGCGCCCAGGAAATGCAAACTGGAGAAGGAAGGAGAACAATGGCCTGGTAGTTAAGGGGGCCAGATTCCACATGGCCAACCATGTGGTTCGAAGCTCGGCTTGGAAAACATCCTGGGTGTGCGCACGTGTGCTCCAAACCCCAGCAGGATGGAGTGGAGAAGGGACTGTGGCATGATCGCAGCCCAGCAGAGGGTGCTTCCTTCCGCTCCCTTCTCTCTCTCTGTGTCTCTGTGGACAGTGAATACACCCTCTGGCAATTAAAAAAAAAAAGAAAAAAACTGGTCTGGAAGGATGGTAAGAATAAGAATAATTTCAGCAGGGTGGAGGAAAGAGGGTTTACGTTATCGTTGGGTACTGGTCACTGGGGTGACCCATGCCCAGGGTTCAAAGACCTGAGGTCACTGAGCAGGGAGACACAGAGGCTGGGGAGCAAGATGGTGGTTCTTAGCTGACCTAGGCGCCTCCAGCCTGGCTGGGAAGCAGGCAGGACCAAGAAAATCCGACTACTTATCTTTAAAGAGAAGACTCTCTTTCTCACCCACACAGGCTGAAATCCAGAGCCCTACTCTTTCTTACTAGCCGAGAGATGAGAAAAAGTCTGACTCTCTTTTTCTTAAAACAAAAACAAACAAAACTATTATTTCTTTATTTAATTCCATTTGTTATTATTTTTTAATTTGACCAGAAAGAGACAGGGAGAGAGAGAAAGGGAAAGCGAGAAAGCAAGCCACCAGGTCCAGGACTCTCAAACCATGGTTGGCCACGTGGGAGTCCAGCACCTCAACCACCACACCATCTGCCGGCCTCTCACTAGCCTCATCAAACCCACATTCCAGACCCAAACTGGGAGGAGACCAGACCTTGGAGGAGTGAATTGCAGTCTCTCTAGATCTGACGATTTTATTCCTGAGGAGTTGGAAAAGGTAACCTCTGAGGTCTCGCCCAGCTGAAACTGTCTAGAATTGTGTGGAATCAGAGAATTCCCTTACAGAACTCAAAGGTAAACCTGGCACCTTCTCTAGGAGAGGAGGCCTCACTCCCTGGGCCCTCCTTATTACTTTCCAGCCCCTACTGCCTCAGGTCCCACCACTGTAGGGTCTTGAGGTGTTTTGTCTTTTGTTTACATCAGACACACACTCGTGCCCCAGACTTAGCACACTTCAGGACTGAAGGCCAGCCCCCACCAGCCGGCAGGGCTTAGGGCTCAGCCAAACCTCCCTGTGAACGATTCTTTGTAAAAGTGGAATCTGACGCTCAGCCCCAGCTGCCGTTTTGCAGAGCTGCCTCGCGTATCAGTTCATCTGCTGCCCGCCACAGTGGGCTGGCAGGTTTATCAGATGGTTTCCACGTGAAAGCTGGCTGGTAGCAGCTCTGGTGGAGAGGATGGGGTCCCAGCAGAGGGGTGGTGTGCTGCTGGGGTCAGGGAGGGTTGGCTGGAGGCGGCTGCGTTTGGAGAGAGGCTGGAAAATGAAGCGACCAGGAGCGGGGATAGCACGAGAGTTCTCCAGGAGTCGATTTCCCATATGCCATCTGGGGATCCCTCCCTCGGGGACGTTACTGAGGACTGCTCAGAGTCTGGAGCTGGGGTGACTCATGACGAGGTCTGGGGCCTTCCCCCACATTGGAGGATGCCACGTGTTGGCACCAGGCTGCTGACCCAGCCTGCCTGCTGAGTGGCCTGGCCCTCCCTGCAGGATGGGGGCACGGGCAGGGGCCTGATTGGCTGTCACCATAGATGGTTTCAGTGACGGTGACTCGAGGTAAGGCCTCCTTCTAGGCCTTTCTGACTCTACCACTGCTTGCTGTGGGGCATGGCTGCTCCCAGCCCCTCCCTGGGCCTCGGTGTCCTCCTCATGGTGGAGAAGGTGGAGCAGATGCTGCTGAGGGCCTGGTCCAGCTCTGCCGTTCGGAGCTGTCTGTCAGGAAGCAGCAAGAGGTCCAGGGGACACAGAGACCCATGTGAGGGACAGAGGGTAGAAGAGGAGGTGACAAGACCCCTTAGGACACCTGGGAGGTTGGCAGGCAAAGGCTGAGATGGTTGGGGAAGGAGGCAAGGCTCAGGGCCATGTAGACAGGGAGTTCGCAGCTGTCTCCCCCCGCCCTTCCCGCGCAGGAAGGGCTCCCAGGCAGCTCCTTCAGGGAGCCGGGAAGAGCAGGTGCTCCCCGAGCATCAGGCCACCGTGGAAAGAGGGATACTAGAGATGCAGGACACAGCCTGCCTGGTCTCCCGAAGCCTCAACTCCCCCATCCCCACAAGCCCAATACCAACCTGGGCTCGTCCCACTGGGCCCCCTGGGAGCCTGCGTAGAACTCCCCAGGGGAGCGAGGGAGCTGGGTATTTATCCCCCAACTCCTGCCCATCTTTGGTTGAACACTGCCCCTGGAGTGTGAACCTCCCAGCACTTGCAGTCTGGCCTGCCCGAGAAAGCCCTCGGGAAGGAAGCAGGTGCAGGGGGAAACCATGGATGTGTGCAGAAAAAGAGGGACAGAAGAGAGGCAGGCAGGGCAGGGCAGTCTTCGAGGCTGGAACTATGTCTCTTGTAACAATGAGCAAACAGAGGCTCAGGGAGGATGAATCACTTCCCAGCCAGGGTCTGAGTGTCCACTGGGCGGTGTCGCTCCCCGAGCACCAGGTCACTGTGGAAAGCAGAATACTAGAGATGCAGGACACAGCCTGCCCAGTCTCCACAAGCCTCAGCTTCCACGTCTGCAAGATGGGACGACTCCCACCCAATAGCCACCTTAAGAATTGGGTGCTAATATTTGCAAAATGCTGTGCTCTGTGTGACCCGCCACTGGGGTGCACTGGGTGGGGCTGGCAGTTACTGCACGGAGGCAGGACAGGAGAAAGGACTGCTCAAAGACCTTTCTGCCCCGCGTGTCATGACTGTCAGCTTGCTGACGTGCCTTCCAGCTGGATTATCGGGGCTTGTGTCAGCACTGGCCTTGGACCAGTGGAAATGAGGCTCTGTCCCCTGGGAGGCGAATTCATTAATTCCTCAGCACAGATGAGGTGGTCCAATAAACTGGCTGTTAAGTAGAGCCCCGAGAGAATGGGAGAGTGGATGGATACTTTTCGATTGCCTGATTTTATTTTATTTTTTGAGAGCTAGAGCAATGATTTAAACAAAAGAAATACAGGTTTCTATGATAGGAAGGGCTAAACCGTTGCATAGATTGGGATTTGGCTGAGAGTAAGGCACTGCGTGGTACTAGGTTCCCCACTGAGAGCACTGAGTGCGGGGGTGGGAGGTGGGCGGCTGCTCACCTTCAGAAGGTGGGGCTGATGAACCTCCGGAGCCTGCCGCCTGCCCCTTGCCTGGCTTTTAATGAAGCTTAATGAACCTCTGCCGAAGGAGCTGCCTTCTCCTCCTATTTCACCTGAGGCCAGGCCAGAGGCAGCCTCTGGGTCTCAGTAACAGCCTGAATCCCCAGGCCACCTCTTCCCCTCTTCGGTGCTAACTTCTCTTCTTTCCCCCCTTTCCAGGAACCTCTTGGACAAAGACATGTTTTCAAAGTCTGACCCACGTAAGTCCTGCTCTGACCATGACAACAGTGATAGTGCCTTTACCATCGGCACACGGCTAATCAGCAGCCAGCACTGGAGCCCTTTCCGGGCACCCGCTGTGGGCCAGGCTCTGCTGCTGCTGTGTCGAGACTGCTCAAGGCTTCGCTGCAGTGTCGGGGAGACCCCAGTGTGTGGGGGCTTGATCCTCCCCCGCCCCTTGCTTGCGAAGCCTCAGTGCAACAGAATGGGTCAGGAGGGGTTGGGGTGTCTTGGGCTGGAAGGTCTTGGTCTCATTTAGAGCCCCAGTTGGCTGCAGTCTGGTGGGACTAGCACTGGTTGTAAAATCTGGGCTTCTAGCCCTGAGCAGTGCCACCCAAGTGTGTAACCTTGGGCGGGTCCTTGACTCCCTCTGAGCCTCAGTTTCCCGTCAGTCAAGAGGGGCTGTTGATAATAGGACTCATGAGACTGCTCGAGCTCTAACGGAGCGATGCAGGTTTCATCCCGACGCTCTCCCACTACCCCTCTGCCCACATGCCATCCGCCTCATGCTTCAGGCCCTTGCCGTGGCCTCAGAGTCAATGGCTTCTGACACCCCTGCCCAACGGTGCCCCTTGCAGACACACCTGGGTTCTACGCCCTCTTCTCCAGGGCAATTTCTGTGGATTGGTGCATCTAGAACCAACTATGGCCTCTGTGGGGGCCAGACCCCCTCCCCGAGACCCGGCTCACCCCAGAGACACTCCCTTCCCCACCCAGACCTAACAGGGCTGCCCATCAGGGCCTCCCTGTCTGCTCCCTCCTCCTCTTGGCCTGGGTGTTAAAACCCTTTCTTCTCTTCTCCCCCAGTGTGTGTCATGTATACTCAAGGGATGGAGAACAAGCAGTGGCGGGAGGTAGGTACCGCCCCGCACCCGGAAACCCAGCCTGTTTCCGATGTCTGGCGTTCTGCCCTCAATTCTGGAGAGACCTCGCCTGGCCTGTTCCTGACCATGCAAAGCCCCCCACAGGCCAGCAAGGCCTGCAAAAGGTGGAGTCTTGTTCCTGCCCCGTCCTCAGGGAGCCCTGCTCTGAGGGGAGGTGTGGCCTGTCCCTGGTGGCCCCAGTCTAAGGGAAGGCCCGGCCCATCCTCAGGGAGCCCCAGCCTGAGGGGAGACACAACTGTGTCCTTGTGGAGACCCAGCTGGAGGGGAGACACAGCCCCATCCTCAGGGAGCCCTGGTCTGAGGGGAGACATGACCTCATCCTTGGGGAGCCCTGGTCTGAGTGGAGACAGCCCCCCATTATCTGAGAGCCACAGTCTGAGGGGAGATATAGCCCCATTCTCGGGGAGCCCCAGTCTCATTCTCAGGGACTCCCAGTCTGTGGGGACTCTAGGAGGGCTCAGGCCCCTCCTGCCCCCCAGCTGGTGAGCTGAGGCAGGAGTGCAGCGTGGCGCACCATCTGACCCGCCGCAGACTTCCCTGCATGCTTTCCGATGAATGTGAGCCGAGCGTGGCTTGGGCAAGGTGACGCCCCGCTCAAAAACCTCGCGACTTCCCTCTGCTCTGCATCAAGTCCGGCTCATTAGCCTGGCTCTCCAGCCCACCGCTGGCCATGATGAGCTGCTTGGGAGCCTTGTCTGATTCCCACTGCCCAGACCCCCACTGCCCCCATCGCCCTGGGAGAGGATGTAGGAGGAGAGGGAAGATTTGAGGAGCTACTCTAAAGAATTCCAGGGATGGGGCCAGCAGGTGGCATGGTGGTTGGGGCTGCTGGATCCCACGTGGCCAAGTGCACGGTTCGAGTCCTGGACCTGGTAGTTCAGAAGATACACTGGGTGTGTCCACGTGCGTGCCCAGGAGTCTAGAAAGGAGAATGGAGAAGGGATTGCTGCAGGGCTGTCCCTTCATGGGAGGGATTTCTCTCT